CCCAGAAAATTTTATGCTCCGAATATTCTGAATTATTAAAATAACTAATCCACTTTAATGTTAATAATTTAATGATCATATAATCAAATGAATATGATCGTTTTGTAATGTTATTATAGTTTAGAAAATCGCTGCCTGAAAATGGTCATTAAATTTAAAAAAAATTATCTGATCTTGTTTAATTTTACCTTATTTATTTCAAAGCATCGCGTAATCTTATTTAATTTTTCTTTATTTTTACGCAAAATTAAGTTCATAATTTTTGTGCTTAGAGTTTTTACCGTTTTATCAATGTAAAGATGTTCGTACAAGAATTATGCGAGAAAAAATATGCGCGAAATACAGTAGAAAGTGCTTTAATGAGATATATTAAGTCCTATTTGGAAAAAAACTGTGGCTTTCATAATCTCATCACTATACAACGTATCACATTTAATAATTAAAAAGAGTTATATGATACAAACGCCATAGGTTTCAGTGTTAAAGTAAACCAGATCGTCCCTACTCTTTCTTGCCGACATGTCGGTGACGTACGCCCCGCCCACTGGGTTAGTCTATCTCTTATAAGGTCCATGGAGAATACATTGTGACGTCACAAGCTTAGTCCCACCCATTTATGTACGTCACACAGCTCCTCCTATTGAACTTTGTTGATGCAGCCTATTCTGTGCTTTTACCGTTTTATCATATGGGGTTGCATATCGCTCTCTTGACTTGTGGCATTCTTTTAAATGTTTTTTTAGTGCCTAAGAAAAAAAGTAATCAAAGTTTTCTTATTGAGCATTGAAGTTTCAAATAAAAAATTGGGTGTATATCAGAATGTTTTTTTTATCCTTAAAATAGACAATCTTCGTATTGTACTCTGTTGTTAGAAATCTTGGAATTATTACTACTCAAAATTTATATGTTAGGATAGATATCTTATATAGCTATCTTACATTCTTATATAGCAATATATTTTTTTAAAAAATTTATTTTGAGATAATATGCTCTACATTGTAACGATTAAAAACGTCTTATTTACCTCGACATTTCGACACTTTTATCATCGCATTGAAACGTGTGAAATTATTTAATAAAAAAACGTAAATTTTTTCTTGATAAGTTCCTGCATATATTATACAGAATCGTTTGCAACAAGCTTCTCAGCCACGTAGCAATTCTTTTTCTCTTGCATAGACATAATAACTTGATTACTAAAAATTATGACCACTTCTTTCAGCTGTATAAAGTAGTTATTATTTGAGTTATTTTGCCTTGAAATATATGCATGAAGATTCCACGTGGTCGGAACTATTTTAGTTAATAGAATGTTGACAAAGGTAATTATTCTAACAAGTATTAGATTTTAAAGCATAGTCGATTTCTTAATTTTAATGCTTTTTCTAAATAATAGTTAGCTATTTAATATTTACAAAACCATTTTTTATATTTATAAAAAAAAGTTGTGCAAATTTAGTTCATTAAAGTATGGAAATGCTTTTATGTTGAGTTTTGTTTAAAAAAAAAAGCCCACACTATTGAAAAATGAAGCACTGAGAAATTTTCTTTTGTATTGTTATATTATTCTTGTTAATTTTTAGCATCTCAAGGAAGAGGGGGGGAATCACATCGAGTCCTTTTGATTGAAATTAAGAAAAAAGAATGCCAGAAGATTCTTTAGTAGATTGGTCAGATAATTTTTCTCAGCAGATTTAATTAATTTAGCTAATTTCAAATTTCTTCTCTAAACTTCTCTCGTACTCGTTTATGATTAAAACTGTCTCGGAAAATTCAATATAGTTTGGAGCAGGTAACGCTTTTGCAAGTAATATACATAGATGAGTAAATCTTTTAGGTGAAATTGCAACAGTTAAGGATTACAACCAATGCAGAATATACTATGTTGAAGGTTGAGAAAAGCTATAGTTTAAATGAACATCATAATTCCTGATGTTCTATAATAAAAAATTCGTTCGTACATATTAACACAGATTCTTCATTATCGAATTCCTTTAAATATAATACAGGGCCAAAATACTTGGCGGCTAGAAATGAAAAGTGATAGAGCCATTTGTAGTCATTCGATTCAAAATGTCATTTCAAGAATTCAGTGCTAACAATTTAAAAAATTACGAAAATTTTAAAAGTTTATAACCTTTGCTTCAAAACTTAAAAAGCAAATTAAAATTCATCATCAAAAATAATTTTAACTAAATATTTGCGATTAGATTTCTAGTTTTGAAGACGTAATCGTCCAGGAAATCAAGATATAAAAAGTTAAATCATGCATTTAAAACGAGCTCTGTAAAATAATTGGAAGCTGTGAAAAATTTGCTGTCGTACTACATTATAAATTTATGCCACGTGGAAACTCATAGCCTTCTTTAATCATGGGATGTTTTCATTATTCTAATGCGCATATGTATTTATTTATTTCACTGGAACGGACTCTTCGAGATGTTTGGATGCTGCGTCACTGCTTAAATATGTATACGAATTATCCTTTACTTAACACTGCTCCTAGGAGTGTGCGAGTGAACATTTTATTTCGCTCTTACAGGCACCGTCACCTAACCTCAATTTGATGGTACTTCGCATACGTAACCTTTCGAGAGGAACCTTGATGATGAATTCCAGGCAGGAGAGAGAAAAAAGAAAAAAAAATCCTGTGATATCCTGTGCTATCCTGTGATAAGACGCGTGCAAGGAAATATCTGCTAATACTAAAATAGTATATTATACAGATCTTGTGGTTTGCAGTACATTCTCATTGTGAGCGGCGGCCTGACATGCGTAATTTATTTTTATCAGTGTGTTCCAAAATGTGTTATATAGACCACGTGGTTTACACTAAATTATCAATAAAATTGTCAGTGGAAGCTTAACCTACGTAATTTACTTTCATAAGCAATTTAATGTGACTTATAAATTGAGTGGAATATAAATGGTGAAAATATGAAATATGCTTTGTAATTAATTCTTGCGTTACACACTTTACAATTTTCCCACTAGTTTAAAACATTTCGTATATGGTTTCCTAAAATACCGTAATTTCCGGAAGAAAGGCCGCATCAGCGTAAACGCCGCACTCGAGAAAAATGCCGGGAAAAAAATTAAAATTACACAGAAACGCCGCAATAGATTAAATTGCGCGTGACATCGCCGTAGGCCGTATAGATGCGAAAACTCAACCTATCTGAATGATAAAGATTTAGTAAATCCTGATCTAAGTCTTCCAGATAGTCACATTCATCCTCTTGGTTTACAGTCTCTTTATCTAAGGATATAATTTCAGCTTCTTTGAACCCTGCTATTATTGACGATGTTTCTAACGATTTCCACGCACTTCCTGCCCACTTTGCAATTTCTTCAAAAGATGCTCTACGCATTTTACCGCTTTTGGTTTACGTATGCAATCCTTCACTCATCCAACACTCCCACTGCTTTCGGACTTCAGCTTTGAAGGATTTATTACCTGACAAATCTAATGGTTGTAAGATTTTTGTCAAACCACCAGAAATTATTGCTTCGGTCGTAGACAATTTTTTGACATCTGGTTTTCACCGACTCAAGTAAATGAGCACGCATGGAATCCATTATCAATAATCCCTTTTGGTTGGAAAAAAAGATCCCTTACGACACTGCCAAACTTTTTGTAGCCACTCATGCATGATTGTTTCGCACATCTAGCCGTTCTCGTTTGCACAAATAATTACGTCATTAGGAAAATCTCCCTTCGGAATAGTCTTTCGTTTAAAAATGATCATCGGCTTTAGCTTGTTCACCGTTTGCGGCACAAGCTAACACATATGTAAATGACGTTCTTTCATGCCCCGTCATAAACACAGATACAGTTTTTGCACCAGTTTCACCAGTATCTGGCAGAATGCCAAGAAAAATCCATTCATGCTGAAGGGGAAATATGTCAGAGTTCGTTATTGCGAGGCAGGTGCAGTCGTGTCCGCCTTTGAAAAAAATTGCAGAAAAGGCAGGGGTGGGGAGAGGATGGGTCCTGGAAGATTCATCGAATGGCAGAGGAGAGAGACTATTCAAACTGATGAGAATGTTGATTTGAAAGGGGGAAGAATGTTATTGTTCTGAGATCTCGTTTAGGGTGAATAAGGCATGTAGGTCCGTTCAAGGGAAAGAATGTAAACAAAATAACGTTCGCAAAAGCAACTAAGTGGTCTTTTGTGTGGGAACGGCACCAGTCTATGCACAATGACAAGGCCATCCAAACTATGTACAATGACCATCATAGGGAATATTTTATTTTTAGTGCACCTAAACGCCGCATGGGTAGAAATGCCGAACCCGCTGAAAATTTAAGTTTTAAACACGTAAACGCCGCGGCGTTTCTTCCGGAAATTACGGTATTTTATTATATGGAATTGCTTTCGTTGCTCAATGAAGCCGAAGTTTCGAAGCGAGAGCCTCTATAAAATCATGAGGCCTAGTTGTTCATGAAGTGTTTGTCCATTACGTTTTAATTTGGCTACCATATATAGGCACCCTGAGAATTTTAGATTTTGGAAATGTCAAGGTCAAGGTTGGTGGTAAGGGGAAAATAATTGCGTATTTAATGTGTTGTACATTAACGCAACTAAGGCATTCTGAGGTATGTATTCTGAGTATTCAACACAGTTTTATTAAAGAATTGAAAGACAAAACAGCTATGAAATCGTTATTTAATAAGAAAGAGTGTTTTGCTTAAGTTAAGGAAGAACACAATTTAAATTAGTAACTTTCACTGACGTATCAAATTGAAGCGAGAGCCTCTATAAAATCATGACGCCCAGTTGACCACTACAGTTATTCATGAATTGTTTGTCGATTACGTTTTAATTCGAGTTCCATTATAGGCGTCCTGAGAATTTTAGATTTTAGAAATGTCAAAAATCACGTAAACTAGCATTAGAACGGAATAACAATATTTCATGTTATACATGTTTCATCTATATTTTGAGAGCCACGGCTGTAGAGTGATAATAATTATTTCTTTTCTTTTCCTAATTTAGGAAGTCTTTGTAATGGTAAAGCGCAGGAAATCTGCTATTTTCCTTAGTGTCACTGAAGATACAACAGTTCAGGAATTAGCGATGTTCGTGGAAGGTATTACCAAAGTTGCCCGTGAGAATCTGCTGTTCTACAAAGACGGCGAGGTAACTCAGCTTTTATCCATTCTTTATACTAAACTGTGGTTAAATACACTTGGCGGCTGTTGTGAGCGATCCAATCATAAATTTGAGTAAACACATTAAAAAAATATATTGTTTAGGCATAATGATATGTTCAGAGACTTTAAATATGTGTGAGGAAATGGGAATATGAATGATGGAAATGGGAACTCTGAGACCCGGTGGCGCAGTGGCTAGCGCATCACGCAGCAGCACAACATGTTCGGGGTTCGAACCTCGGGCTGGGCAAGGTCGTCTCAGCCTTTCATCCCTTTATTTCCATCCCTTGGGTAGATTAAATGAGTACCGAGTTCGCTTGAGTACTAAACACTGGGGGCCCTGCGACAAGCTGACCACTTGTTCAGGGCATATGCATACGCACCCCGGGGTCCACGGTCAAGAAAGCCGATTTCGGTAGACTGCAGGCCTTGGCCCATTAGGACTGTTTGCGCTACTGAGTTGTTTTAGTTCATGAGAATTTTTTTCTAGGTACAAATTAAGAGGTAACCAGAGTTCTGAGCTACGGATACTACAGCTAATCTGTGCCAGCTTAATAGCTTTTACGCTTCTACTGGCGAAGTGACATTAATCTCAGTAGAATCTAATTAATCTATGCTTACGTCGTAGACGATAATTAACCTTAAAGTTTCAGTTAATGTGGGTACATCGCTTTATTTTTAAAACAGCCCTGCTTAAAGAGTAATGTATTGGATTGGGAAAGGGAAGACTTAACGTTCTCCCTTACAATCTCCATCTAACGTGATGGAAAAACATATCCTGTTAAAATATTAAAGAAGATATTAATTTTCCTTCACTTATGAAGACTCTTTTAAAAAGCCTCCTATTTAAATATTGAAATGGTATCTGAAATTTGTTACTACATACAGTCTTTCCTTTAATATTGATGCTGCATCCAGATACAAAATTTTTCAACGTAATTATTGGTAAATGTAGTATGTCTGATTAACAGTAGTAAACGTAATGATGGAAACGAACTTTTACGATTACGTGTTTTGAGGAATGCATGTCTTAATAATCAGAGTGAAATGAAAATATTTAACGTACGTCATCATATTATTTTCACGCTTTGTGAATAAATACCCGTAATTTCTGCAAATAAATCTGCGTGCAGTTTATTTTATTCCCTAGATACTCGTAAATACATGTACATAAAAAAGAGCAGCAGAAATTACAGATATATAATCGAGCTATTTTTTCTGGTAGAAAATTATTTTTATTAGCTATTTATTTAGAAGATTAATATTTATAATTATAATGTTTCTTATACACATGCACAATTCATTTGTTTCCAGATTATGGACCCAAGAATGACATTAAAGGAATACGAAATCAATTCTTGCACATCTAAACCCCATGTACCATTTGAATTAGGATTGGTATACAAAGACAGTGGTAATTTATTTTTACTTTTATATTTACCTCAATTTCTTTTACATTTGTAAATATTCTATTTTTTCTATATATTGATACTTTGCTGTGGTCGACTGAACAAGACATTATTTTGTATTACATTAAACTTCTTTCTGAATCCCTTTTAGCTTGTTTCGCGAATGTGGTTTTCAATTTAACTGGCATGTGGCAAAAGCTTTTAGGTTTTCAGAAACTTCTGACTGAAAAATATTAAGTAGATTTAGTTTCTTTGAGAATTCCTTTGCTTTTATAGGGTATCATTCTAAACAAATATGCTATGATCTGACAAACATGACACGTTATGTGTGATTCAGCGTCAAATTTGATATGATACCTTTAGTGTAAGAGAATATGTCCATTTGATGTGAGGCTTTCTTGAAATTTGGATATTATGAATATATTTGTTACGGAGGTTCTAAAAATATGAGAACGAATGATGCCAATAAATCAAAATTACTGTTCATATCACACGAAGCAGAGACTATTGAGTAAAAGATTATATTTAAAAAACAGCCTTTTGGTATGATAGACATGGCAGCCAGGTACCATAGCCTTAGGCCCGGGTTCGAATCTCGGAGAAGCCTTAAACGTTTCTAAGAGCACAGTGTCTTTGGGACCTCGGGGCACTTGAAAGATTATCCGATCAAAAGTGCTCTCGAGAGATTAGTGGCAGAGCGAATAGTTTTGGTATACTGTACTCTTACTTTGTTCCCTGGCAGGATTTTACTTCAAAACTGTGGAAGAGCTGACAATAGTCGAGGCCACAGTAAACGACAAGGAGAACTCTTGATCCTGGGCTACTGCGAAATTCATGGACTCTATAGATCTATTACGAAATTTATAGACTTTATACTTTTTCGTTTAGGGGGTATAAAATTCAGACACTAATGAAGGCGAGGTAGCCAATTCTCGCTGGCTTGAAAAATAGATAACAACCAACGAAGGTTACAACAAACTTTTTATTTTAACTACACTGAAAAGAACATATTCACACTCGGTGCTCCCAAATTAACCAGCACTAGTGGCGAAGTAACACAAAATAATATGCACAATCAGGTTGAATCATCAATTCCACCAAACAGCCGTTTCCTACTAAAATCTAATTCACACTTATTAATCAGATTTATAGAATGTATGCAGCAAAGTCGAGTCTAAAATATCAAATAATTTAAAAGATTTTAGCACAAATATTTAGGTACAGAGTTACTTGGAAACATACACCATAAATCTTGCCCGAGGCATAAACTCGTTCTCGGCGTAAACCCGCTCTCCTCGTAACTAGTAAATCACTAAGTTTTCAATTCTGCTACTTAAACACTAACTCCGAACTTTTTGCATACGCGTCACTTAAATTTGCATTTTTCAGGAAATAGAAATCGGAAGAGAAAGGAAAGTTTCTTAAAATAAAAATAATTGATTAGCACAAAATAAGGTATTTACAATTTGATTTTATGTTAATGTTAGAAGGGAGACAAGTCAGAACAACACTAAAACAAAATAATTATGCGTGCAATATTTAAGACTATTTTTCATGGGATTCTCTTGCTATGTAATTTTTAATTTTGAATGTATATTTAATTTTACAGAACATTAATTGTACGATTCTCAGTTTCAATAATCAATTCTCTCATTGTAGAAACACTTGAATTTGAAGAACTAGAAATAACTCCTCTATTAATCCCACCGGAGTTGCCAGAAGTTATGAGACGTCCTGAAACTCAGAAGCAATAAGTAAGTATGAATTTATGAATCATTTTTGACAGATATACTTTTAAACATTTGTTTTTATTAATCGTCTCTGAGCGCACTCTTTAGGTGCTAGGTCTCTCTCTTTAGGTCGGTAATCTAAAATAAACTCTTCTGTTTAGATTATTAGTAATAAGCCTGCTTTTAATGCATACAACAGGCAATATTAGTAATTAGCAGTTTTCTTAAAGTTGTTTGCAAACAGTTTACATCTATTAAAACAGTTTACATTGTTGCAACAGTTTACATTGTTGCAACAGTTGCAAACAGTTTACATCCTTTTATAACTCGGAAGTGTATGCAAAGCCATCGCCTAGGGAACCTCAGTAACATTTAACATTTCTCGTTAGGAATCAAGACGTTCTATTTAAAACGTTAAATATAGCCTGAAGTCTGTGCTATATAACTGCTTAGAAATTGGCATTGATACGTAGTAGAGTAGTTTTAATAGGAGTAAAATTGGTAAAATATTTTTATTTTGCTAATCGCTTTATGCAAATTTAGAAAATTTTCCGGGCACAGATACTTATCAGGAAAATCAATTAATGGTTCTCTTTACAAGAATAACTGTCATTGCAATTTACAAATCCTGATACATTTTCTTATTTAATTACTTTTTAGCTCTATCAAAAGTTAAGTTTAGAAATATCTGCATAATTATTTCGTTTAATTATTTTTTATTAAACTGGACTTTGTGAAAATTTCTTATTATTTGTTATTATTATTTCTCAAATAACAGTCGCAAATGTATGTATGACATTCTTCTGGAAATCATAGTCTATATTTTAGTAGCAAGCATTGTTTTCTTTCATCAATTCATTGATTATTTATTTTGTTTTGCAGATTCTTTTGGAATGGCAAATGATATTTCGACAATGCGACTGTTGCATACTTAAACTGGAAACTAAATTTTTTAAACTACACTGTATATATTCTAATTTTAATTCTTTCTTGTGTATCTGTTTACTTATTGTGAAAATGTTGGATTCTCTGTAGCAGTAAAAACGTCTTCCGTTTTTATATTTTGTAGAGACAAATCTATTATCTGTGCATTTAAATGTTAATTTTCTGAATATTTTCAAATGATTTGATAGGAATGCACATAGTAAGCATCATGTAAACTTGTAAACGATTATGGATGCAAGTGAATATAAAATTCATATATCTGAAATCTGAGTCCTTTTATCCTGTAAGTATTGGTAATGACTTTTCTTTTTTTCGACTTAGAACCTAAATCTATACGTGATACTTCAAGTAACTCTTTGAATAGATTATAACTGATTTCGGGATATACATTTTAAGATTTTTTTCGTCTTTTACAACTTAAATATTTGTCAGAAAAAAAATTAGAAATTATTAGAGACAAAAATTTTGAGTTCACAACACTAGGCAGTGAAGAATGGTTCTCCGGAATGCCATAATGAATATCTCTGAGATTGATCAGAGCTGAATGTTATTTGTATATAATGAGCTGACTTAAAAACTATCAGTCCTTTCAGCGTTCAATGCACTGAAACTCTTTAATGATGGTGAGTGAGTGAGTGAGCGCCACCAAGGAAGACCACTGACCGATTTTTCGTGCGCTGTCTTGTACATATTAAAAGCTGGTAGAATTTCATACCTGCCAACTTTTACGAATTTTTACGAAAATGCGTTTGTTTTTACGATTTTACGATCGTAATCCATTTTTTTACGATTTTTTTTCCTTTTTCAAGTGTTTTTAGTGATTTTGTCGAAATTTTTGAATTTTCGCCAATTGCATCGTGTTTTACCGCCAAATACCGACTACTTCGAATCCGGTAACCTGCGGTTTCTCCCAACTCGCCGCTTAACCAGCCAATCCAATGCGCTGAACTTGTTTCTCCCATTCTTTTCTTTGTGGGCGCTAGATTATTTTTTTCGCGTTCGCTTCAGCAGCAAGGGAATTACTCAGCTCGGACTCAGCGAGCGTGGATTGTCGCAATCATATTGGTCGCCGCTTTTTCGGATGGCCCAGACTGTCCTTTCCCCATCGATGACGAATAGCTGATAGCTTTGAGCTTTGTAATCGATTACGAAGCTTCGATACTTTGTTTACGTTTTATGTGGAATTGTGGTAAGATTGTATATGGAAAATCTTGCGGAATTGATAAGGACCGCTCTTCATATTTAATTTTTTTTTCTTGCTGTATACGAGAGTGGACGCAATATGAATAACTCTCTATGCTACAGTCAATTATTTCCATTATTCGAATTAATTCATCTTGAGAACTTTAAAAGTCTTAATAAACAGAAACTTACTCATATTGCTGATACAAAAGTATTGATATGCTTTGTTCAATTCTCTTGTTGATAAAAAACAGCAATTGTGCATGTAATGACAGTAAAAATAGTGAAAATTTATATATGTCTGTATTGTTGCCTAAGTAGTAATAATGCATGATTATAAAATAAATATTAGAATCTACTGAAGTAATAATTACATATGTTAGAACACAAGAAAAGAATATGAATTTTTATTTATTTTAGTGACCCGTATTTTTTTTTAATTATGTTCACAGAGTTCTTTTTTAAGTTTCCTCCCCAAACAGCAGAGATGCGTGTGACCTAAATTTTGTACTGAACAACGGCTGTGTGAACAACACAAAATTATGTTCAAAGAAAAGAAATTCATAAATTCTACATTGCCTATACGATTGCCAGTTAAAAAAAAAAAAAAAAAAAATCATGTTTTCCATTTCTCCACATCGAAAAATTATACCGGGGGGGGGGACAACACCACTTCACTTTGGCATATTGATGTTTTATATCCAATAAAAATCCCATGGTTTTAACCATTTATCCTAATTTTAATCTAATTTTAATCCTCTTCATTGTTAGCTTTTAAGGATATTTGCTTCTTATTTGCATTTTTGGTCTCTTTCTGTCAATAGTGGTATTAAGGATTTGGTTTTCATCATTTAACCATTTAACCATACTCTCCAGTTTCTTTCTGTTGCTTCTCTTTCCTTACACCCAGTGTGCATGCCGTGCTGAATGCATTATTTCAGATTCAAAATGTGTATAGACAGAGAACATTGTACCAGGACGACAAAAAGTGGTAATTTAACAACATAAATAACATTGGCATCAATTATCCCCTCCCTAAGACAACCACATTCATAGAAAATTTTTATATAGCAGCTGTGTCTGGCTGTCTTACAGACAGTTCACTGTATTTTGTGATTTAAAATTGTATTAGCAGCTCGTTATAATACTGATGCAATTTAAAGTTTTTTTCTTAGTTAGTTCAAACAACCCATGTTACTAGTATCAAAAAGTAGTATCTTATGATTATTAGTCATATTATTAAAAATTTCAAAATGGCTTTTGGAAATTTTCCTTCCTTACACAATGATTTGCAGTTTGGCAAAAAATCTTTCACAAGTTGGTCTTACTATGGGCAAGTATTGAATTTTGTTTCCGAAACGATAACCAGTAATTTTGTTTAGAGTTAAAAATCATTTTCTATGGTAATATGTAAATCTTTTAGTTTTTAATATATTCAAAAGCTCCTTTTCTTTTCTTATGCCATAAGGCATGTGTAAAATAAGCTTATTTCCTTGTATTATTATTATTAAACCATTCAGAAGAAGCCTTTCTGATAATTAATCACTGAAACTTACGTCATACCTTTCTGTTAATTAGAAAATAATTTTGGATAATAAAATAAATGTATTAGAAAAGTATTATATTATTAAATATTTTAAAATATTTTTAAAATATATTAAATTAATGTATTAGAAATCTCTGTAATTTAAAGCAAGCTTTCGTTCTTCAACTACATGTCCATTTCCGATACCCAAAGGCTAATTCCATCATAATAACTATCTTTATCTTTTACCCAACGGTCATTTCAGTGAAACCTTTCTATTTGAAAATTCTGTGATTCAGATATTCAAATTAAATACATTAGGCAATTTGTGTTTATTATCTACATTTGTTTCAATAATGTTTTTTGTTGCATTAATTTCTCCAAGTAATTTAAAAACATGAGGTTGTTTAAGGCCATTTTTTATCTATTCATTTATTGAAATATTTACATTACATTTATTACTTCTTATATATTAATATTTACATTTATTACTTCCCCCCATTAGATAATCCAAGAATTTTATATACTTATAATTTATGGTATAGGCTTGTATATATGCAATATGAATTTTTTTTTTTTTTAATTTTCCAGAAGAAAAAAATTTTTATCTTCTACTTATCTCATTATCGGATTGTTTTATAAGGTATTTCTCCTGCCTTCGTAGCATGCCTCGGCACATATTCGGGAGGTCCATGGTTCTAGTCGCGGAGAGTGCATTGCTCGTTTTTCACGTCTCTCAGCTTCCAAAAAAATCCTAATGTCTCTACAATGTCTTCTTTGTCTTCTTCAAATAAACAAATAATCTGATGCAATGAAATATTTTGGTCATTAAAACTTTTTAATCACTGCTGTTTACATCTACATTTCTTTTTTCACATAATTGAAGTTTTCAAGTAGTTTGAAGGTTTTCAAACTAAGTTTCAGAGAAATTTTAGATATCGTCGTGCAACTCCTCCTGGGGCATCTTCAAGTTAAAAATCAAAATTTAAACTATTTTTATTTTAATATCACTGGACATGCAAATAGAATAAAAATATTTCTTTAGTTTTTTTGTTACAAAAAATATTAAGCAGATCTGTTTTTTATGATTAACATTATAATGAAATAATGATTTTCTTTTAACTTCTTTCTGCATAAAATGGCACAAATTTTTGTATTTCAATTCTTTTATTAAACATTTATTTTTTTGAGGATGGAAATGCTTCTCTCAAAAAAATTACAATTTTAGAGTTTTTTCTGAATTTACAGATTTGAAGACAGTTGGATAGAAAAGCCACAATTTTTTAAATGGAGGAATAAATACAGCCCTGGCTTTTGTTATGTTTATGTTTTATGCATTTAATAAATTTCCGCCCGACTGTTTATTAATTCTACCTAACACAATTAATCGATACTTGTTTCTAATATAGAATTTTAGCATCAATTCTATCTACATAATAACATGAGTAATCTTTTTTTAATTGAATTTTATCAATATTAACAAAATACTTTGGCACTATGAACTGAGAATTTTTTCCTTGACTTTTATCTTTCAATACTTTAGGAACTGGTCATTGATTTACATCTATAATAAAAGAAATAAATGCTTGTATGAGTTTTAACATATTGTTAAAATGCAATAAACTTCAGCTCCTTTGTTGCATGAATAATGTTAAACTCCCTGTTAAGTATTTTTTTAGCATCTTCTATGTAACAGTATAGACTCCATGATTATTCCTTAAAATTGGAAGTATCAGAAATAGATGTAAATATGTATTGTCTTCGGCATTAACTTACAAAAATAAAAAGTGTGAATATCTGAATGGAATTATATAGAAAGAGCTACAGGACGCTATGTTGTCATGATGGTCATTCCACTATACAGGAAATATCAAATCAAACAATAAGTGCAGGAAAAGATTCAGTAAGAGTATATACTCTCTTCTGAAACAATACATTTGGCTGTAGTTGTTACCATATGATATTCCTATACAACATCCCAAAATCTTGGTAAATAACTTTTCTAAACCAAGATTACAGTGTAAAAAAAGTAGTGGAAAAATGTTATAGTCATGTAACTGGGCTACCATACATAAAAATTAAGCAGTGTTACAAGTGTTTTTATCTTAACTGCCTGTTACAACCAAATAACAAGCTATGAGAAAGAACATGTAGTGTCAGTACAGCTGGATGATCCCTTTTACAGGAGTTGCTAATTTGAAAACAAGTTAAACCTGTAAAACTACCCTTCATACTGGTTTGCTTTAGATTCATTTGGTAACAAATATGCCATTAAAGTCTGTACCAATCAATCAATAAACCTTGTTACAAGCAAGTTTTGTTTGCAGGATGCTGTTCATAATTGGCTTTCTTTTGGTGGTATAGCAACAGCGAAGGGAGAAAGATTCCGGGTAATTTAAATTCAACTAACATAGCAAATTCCATTCTTCTGTAACTTTATAATTTGATACAGCTTTATTTTTCAGAATTTTATTCACACCACTATTTCATCCATTGCAGACAAATTCCACAAGTGCATA